TATCGTCAGCAGTTTGTATCATTCAATTAAATAGAACTATGAAAATAATGTACCCCAATAATGCCAGATTTATTGTAATTGTTATTTTTCAGTTGTAAATGTTATTTACCAAATATGCTTTTTGCATTGGACAGGAGTTACTGTGAAGACTACTGATGAAGAGGTTGAAATTCGAGCTCCTGTCATCATATCAAATGCTGGTTTGCTCACTACTTTCCATAAACTTCTACCTCCAGAGATCAAGATGGAGCCAGGTAAGTCACAGAGTTTTAAATATCAGCTTAAAAATAAAAATTCTTTAACCACCTGGTAGTAACAGCTCTCCCATCTTTTTTGGCCAATACAGAGGTTGTGGATTGTCTTGAAAACGTTAAACCAGGCAGAGGCTTCTTCCAGGTGTTTGCAGGCTTTAATGCCACTCAGGAGGAGCTGGGAATTACATCAACCAGCTACCGTCTCTACAAGAGCAACAACATGGATACAGCGTGAGTGTGCAGTGGTTGATGAAGTACACAAACCATGTACTTGAGTTAAAGTAGAGATACCCAAGGTAAAAAATTACTCCAGTAAAAGAGGTCCTCCCTTTAGACCTCCACTTGAGTAAAAGTACAAAGGTATTTGCCTTTAAATGTACTTAAGTATCAAAAGTGAGAGTCTTAAAAGATTAATTATGGCTGTAATGTCCTATTACCATTTTTGTAACAAGACTCTTGCTTTATCAATTCATTTTAGGTGAAAATATTCTAGTGTCACTCTTGTTACACCAATACTTTAATAGAATGTCATTAATTAGTCTGATGCTGATGTCTATTAATATTGTCACAAGCACAAAACACTGAAGGCAAACAATTTCCATTAGATAGAACTAAGTGACTATTAATTAACCTTTTGCAAACAAGCAAAAGTTTCGGTTTAAGATTTAATTGCAGCTTAGTTTAAATAAAAATCAATTTAAATTTAAACAAGTTTAAATTTAATAAAAACTTGCTTTGAACTCACGTATGAGTTTTCCTTTACTACATTACATCTGTAGGTCTCTGTTCATAAACATAAACTAGCCAAAATGAATTTACTATAAAATGAAATGGTGTTTGTATGAATTCAGAAAAAAGAAACATGCCAGTCACAACTGCATATGTGTACATACTTTATATTGTGGTCTATTTACACAAATTTTGGTTAGAGTAAAAGTTTCTATGCACACATAAGCCAAAAGGAACAACAGATTTCGCATGTAGTGGAGTAAAAAGTAAGATATTTGACTTTGAAATGTAGTGGAGTAAAAGTAGAAAGTCATCAAAAAAGGAAATACTTCAGTAAAGTACAGATACACGAAAAAACTACTAGTACAGTACAGTACAGTAATGATTTACATTTATTTCATTACTGTCCACCACTGTGAGCCAGTACTTCCTCTGAAACACTTTTTGGTTCTTATACCTCCTTAAGCCTCTTGACTTCACTGAGTTGCTAAGAAAATGTGTGTTAACTCAGTATGTGTGTACTCCATAGGTTGGAAGATTACTTCAGCCTGGATGAAGAAGATGCACCTGACAACATTCCCATGATGTTCATGTCATTCCCCTCTGCTAAAGACCCCACTTCAAAGAGCCGCTTCCCAGGTAGTCATGTGCACATGTATCTTATTCAGATGCTGGTGATCGCTTCATGATGAGCATTCTTGAGCATGTGCTGTGGATTGTTTCAGGGCAATCTCGCATGATGATTCACACTGTTGTAAATGCCAAGTGGTTTGGAAAATGGAAGGGAATTCCAGAGGAAGACCGAGGAGAAGATTTCAAAGAATTCAAGATGCGATTTGCTAATCATCTGTTTGACTGGGCCTGTGTCCACTTCCCCAAGCTGAGAGAGAAGGTTTTCATTTTAAAAAATTAGTTTTTTTGCATAATAAAGGAGACAAATGATTTGACACACGATGTTCTTTGTGGCTTTGCTAATAATCACCACTATGTCTCTTCTGGTAGCTGGTAATGCTGCATGCTGTCAGTCCCATCAACAAGCATGCAGGAGCCATACTGTCTGCTGAACACAATCTGGAGAGATTTCAGCCTTTGACCATTGCCAAAACCAGGAGCACCACACCCATCAAGAACCTTTACCTCTCAGGTAAAATGCAGTCATCAGAATAATATCAGACAACCAAAAGATGAAATTAAATTAATCATCAAACGTCAATGTGTTTTGTGTCCTATTTCAGGTCAAGATGTGTTCAGCGCTGGTGTGTCTGGAGCGGTGCATGGTGGTCTTCTCTGTGCTTCTTCAGTTCTGGGGCACGTTGTGTACATCGACCTCCTTCTTCAACAGAAGAAACTGAAAAAAAATGTAGTTAAGAAAACAGAGTGAGAACATTCACAGGGATGAGAGAAGAAAACACCTCATGAAGACTTCATGAAGAGTTTATATTTTTGTTCTATCTTCCGTTTTCAAAGTCTCTGTTTTTCATATTTTCGGTTTAAGCTGAGAATGTATCTTATAATGCTGAGCTGAATATTCTGTATGCTCTTTCTTTAATCTGATCTTTGATCTGCAGATCTGAAATACGTTGAAATGAATATCATCTTGTCCTGGATGATAATGCCAAACTTTTAAAGTGAACATTTCTGTAGTTAAGAGAACTATGTGATATGATGTATCTTTACAAACAAAATAAACAATGACATTTTCTATCAGACCTGATGCAAGCTGTCAAAGTGATTTCAAGTGATGTAGAGCCAATCACCTGTAATTCTAGACTAATAATATGGGAAATATTTAACTTTGTGTTGAGGTAAACGGTCACTGGGGCGGGGGTGGTACCCTCAAAGGTACAGTGCCTTTAGTTAAGGAACATAATAGTACCATAATCTTTTGCAATTATATTTTTTTGTCATTTGCACTGAATCTGTACACCCTGTCTTGACTCTAGACTCATTATTTTATGGTTCTGTCTTAAAACATTAATACATTAAAAGGTATAAAAACATACCCTTCCCCTGGGAGCAACATATTTAAGGTACACAGTTGGACCTTAAAACCATTGTTGTACCTTTGAGGGTTCATTTACATTGTTTGTACCTTGAGGAACGAACGTACTTTGTTTTTCTAACAGTGTACAATCAAACGATCTGTCCTAAAATCCACATCTGCAGCTATTGTTTTGCTTAAATGCACAATAAAGTGACGTATTTCTAAATCACTCAGAAGAGTGTGTGCACTCCTTATGACTGCGAGTGTGTGGATAAGTCGTTTATTTTTGCAGGACAGGTAGTTGCTAACATTCTCGCAATGGTAACATTGTTAAGTGATATTTATGAGACAGCATGTTAGACTGTCACCAATGCATTAAACTGTGGGGTATAAACTTAGCCCAACACCACAGTTCTAAATGTGTTCAGTAACATATTCCATTACAGTATATGAAAAAGTAACATATTCAGGATACATTTAGAAGACAATTAAAAATACTGGCACATGGGAAAACTACACAGGGCATGACATGAATTTTTTGGCTTGTTTTTGGAGTATCGCCATGTTGTTTGCATGGCAACAAATGGGCAAATGCTTTTCAAGTGTAAAAAGGTATCCTTTGCTCCTTGAAGAACAGGCAAATGATGACACTGGGCAGGCTCATCTCTACTGTGGAAAAATGAAAGTAGCATGGAGAGCTTTGTTGCCTCATTCAGGAGCTCAAACTTTATGAGTGCTTCCACATACAACTCAGATGTAGACTACTTTGAACCCTGTTTGAGCTGCTTTTGCAGATGCTAACACCATCTGTGACAAAACAAAGTAATCCTCCTGATGTTGGTCAAAATGTTCCAGTTGCTGGGACACTGCTGACCTATCAGCTTGGTTGCCATGCCAACACCAAAGACAACAGTGATAGGTCAAGCAAATCTATGTTGCAGGTGAAAGCTGGCTGGCAAATAAAATAATGTTATTTCATATTATTTCATAATTCATAATGCATTTTCAGCATCTGAAACATCATGTTTGATTGGCAAGATATCATCAGTTATACATGTGATTAATTCATTAAATTAATTTATTGTCCTCCAAAAAATGCACTAATAAAATGCCTTTAAACCATTATATATATATATATATATATATATATATATATATATATATATATATACATATATAAATATGTATGTGTGTGTGTGTGTGTGTGTGTGTGTGTGTGTGTGTGTGTGTGCGTGCGTGCAAAAATTTAAAAATGTAACTGCTGCACCATTTAAGGCCTAATGTTTAAAAAAAGGTGGAAAATGTGAACAAGAAGCTTGTGAATAAAACAGTTTGATGTAGAGCTCTGCCTGTAAATATGCACTACGGTCGGACAAGGTAGCACAATTCATCATACTACCGGTTAGTGCTGTGCTTAATACAGCCGAGTGACGAGATGAGCCGTGTAAATAACTCTCGTTATTAAGTTAACAGTTAGAAATGTAAAAAACTTAAACGAACGATTACTTACAGTAGCATATGCGCACAACAAATGATAGAGTAAAGACAGATGTCTGTTATTACTCGTTTTAAACAGAGATTGAAACTTCGTTCGTTTTCCAACTCCGGCTGCCTCCGTCTGTATCCTAGCAACGCGTCTGCGCGTGCGTATCAGAGACTTAGCGCGAAGAGCGGCGCAGAGCGGAGACTTCAATCGACAGAGAAAGGACGGTTTTACTCCGTTTACTCTGGTTTTATTGATATTCAATAATAGTTCAGCTTCTAGTTACCTCAGACGGAGGCATCAGACTTGGACCGGACTCGAGTACTGCAACTCTAGTTTTGAACGTTTTCTTCACTCGTCAGTATGTTTCAACATGTTACAGAAGCAATCTGGCAACCCAGCTTCATTTGGTTAATTTAGCGCGGACAGGTGATTGGGTGGGGCGGCTCACGTGAATAAAAAAGCCCGGATATTGCTCGCTGCTGTCTTCTGGGTTTTTGTCTGAGGAGCGCTCGTCACTGTTTTACTTGAGAAAACCGGCCGAGACACGATGAGGTGGCTGCTGCTGTTTTTGGAGTGGTTGGTGGACTGGGCCCGCGGGACTTACTGGTTTCTGGTGGGAAAGAGAAGTGCTCTGTGTCAGGAGTCCTTCAGTCCTCCAGCCCGGCAGGAGTTTGACCAGCAGGCAAGAGACAGGGTATTAGCGCAGGGTAAACGGAGTTTGGTGACGTAGTCTTAACGCGGGAAATTGGACAAATTAGCCCATTCATGTCTGGGGGAAAATGCTACAGAACATGTTGTTTAACTGTAGACCCCCTGTGGAAGAATCCTGTTATGACCAACTTTTGTTGGTAGGTGGTTTGTGATGATCTAAGCTGGTCTTTAGGTGGCTGACAAGCTGGACATCCAGGTGGTCTGTGTGAAACTATAGCCTGTGCTGGTCAACCAGCTGGTTAATGTGTCATGTCTGAGTTTGATGGTTTAGCTGGTCACGCTGCAAATGTGTGTATTTATTTTAAATCAGTTGGACCATGTGACCAAAAGACAGCTTGGTATTAAGTAACTTTATCTTTTTAGCTGTATGACTTGAGAATTTTCTTCAGATTTGTGCTCAGGCAAGCTCAAATGGACCAAAGGAAATCTAAGATTTTGTGGTTCCTTCTTGGGTATTCTGGTATCAGTACTCTTTAGAGCTCTCTAGAGATGTAAAAAAGGGTGAAAATCCTTGTTTTACAGTAATAATACAAAAAAAGACAGGTGTCACAGATGTTTGAAAATTCTTGCCACAAACTGTTCAGTGGAGTGAGAACTCCATATGATCCTCCATTGTAGAGCATTCACTCAGTGTGTGTGAACGTAGTTCTGATTTTATGCATTTGTTTGCCAAAATCATTCTTTTGTTCTCATTGAAGACATGAAGTTTCATAAAGATATTAAGTATATAGCTTAAAGCAGTGTTCTCCAACCCTGGTCCTGCAGAGCTTAGTTCCAACCACATTTTGCTTTCCAAGTCCCTGATTGGCTGGATCAGATGTATTAATTAAAATAGGGGGGCAGTTTATTGCATTTTATTGCATCAAGTTGAAACTGAATTCTGCAGGAAGGGAGCTCTTTAGGTCCAGTGTTGGGGACCACTGACTTGAGAAACATTTTAAATGTAAGAATCAGTTCTCAAAGAAATGTCAAGATCTACTGCATCTATACTGCTGTGTTATTCTCACTCCAGTTAATTTCATAGCTACAATGTACAAATGTCATGTCTGTCTGTCTAGAGTTCAGCGCGGACAAAGTAGCTTCCGGCCTGGATGTGGTTGTGATTGGTAGTGGTGTTGGTGGACTGACGGCTGCTGCAGTGCTGGCCAAACTTGGCAAGAAAGTTCTTGTTCTCGAACAGCATGATAAGGCTGGAGGCTTGTGCCAGTCCTTCAATGTGAAAGGCTTCCAGTTTGACTCTGGTGAGCGGAGCTCTTTCACCAGAAAGCCTACAACACTTGTTAGATCTTAAGCTAATTTAATTCAAATGACAAATTGCTGATGTGCTGAATGTGATAATCTGCATGTTCCTTCCGAAGCTTTCCACTACATAGGTCAACTTCATGAGAACAGTCTACTGAAAATTGCGCTGGATCAGATTACTGATGGTCAGCTGCAGTTTGCTGAACTGGACCCTCACATGGACACTGTAGTCATTGGAAAGGGGGACAGACGCAAGGAATACACCATCTACACAGGCAAGCGACAGATGGAGGCTCACCTTAAGAAGCAGTTCCCTAATGATACTCGGGCAATTGAGGAGTTTTTTAAGATCATGAAGGTATGTAGCTTTTAATACTCCTGTACGGTGTTGTGCACTTTTCACTTCTCAAGTTTAGGGCAACTTGTTTCTGTGTAGAGTGGGGGGGTTAATGAGAGTAATCTAAAGACAAAACTGCCATTGATGGAAGTGACTAAACATTTTTTACCTGCCCTTGTCAATGGATTTTATAGTTGGGGAAACTTTCTCCACGCAGATGAATATAATCTCTCTCTTTTAAATTTTCCCCCAAAGATCTGCTCCAAAAAGATCCATCTTTTGTGTGACTTGAAGTTTGTCCCACTGTGGTTTGCACGCTTCATTCTGTGGAGTGGAATTGCTGACTGGATCTCTCCAATCTTCAAGTACGCATGCACAAGCACTGCAGATGTGATTGGTGCTCTTACCACCAACAAAGATTTCTTGACTGTCATTGCACACTACTTGCATGGTGAGGAGTCTCTGCAGGTCATTGATTTGCTTTGGCATTAAGTTGCAGTTTCTTAACATGGGTGTTTTTTATTTCCTTGTCTCCCCTGCCACAAAACATCTAGGTGTTCCACTCAAGAACGCTTGCTGCATGTTAAATGCATTGCTCTTTCATCATTACAAGCGTGGTGCATACTACCCTAAGGGAGGTGCGCGTGAAATCCCTTACCACATCATTCGGGTCATTGAAAAGCATGGAGGAAAAGTACTGGTTAAAGCCCCAGTCTTGCAGATTTTGGTTAATAAAAATGGTGCTGCTTATGGTGGGTAAATCGGTTTAAGTTGGTGTAAATTATGTACTTTGTTCAGTGTGACTTACCTATGAATATGCTTCTCCTCTTAGGGGTGACTGTGAAGAGGGGTAGTGAGCAGATTAATATTAAAGCTCCTGTAGTCATTTCGAGTGTTGGTGTATTCACCACTTTTCAGAAGCTTCTGCCCTATGAGATCCAAGTCAAGCCAGGTCTGATTTCCTTTTCTTTAAACGGCCAATTGATGGCTCCTGGACCCTTATTTTTTATTTTTTTTCCTTATGTCTTAGAGATGAAAGAATGCCTGAGTCCTTTCAAAATTGGCAAAGGATCCTTCCAAGTGTTTGTGGGCTTCAACGCTACCCAGGAGGAGTTAGACATTACTTCAGCAAACACGTTGCTCTTTAAGAGTAATGATATGGATGGCATGTAAGGGCCTGAGCTTTGAACATTTTTAACTGAAATCAAATTGCTGAAACTAAACTAATTTTTTTTTTTTCATCTGTTTAAGGTTGGAGGAGTACTTCAGTTTGAACAAAGACAAGGCGCCTGAGAATGTTCCTATGATGTTTGTCTCCTTCCCTACTGCTAAAGACCCCACCTCAAAGGACTGCTTTCCAGGTAGGATGCACACTTGTTGTGACTTGTGGCACACAAGGGTACATGTTGGGGAATCCTAGTAATATCCTTAACCTTTCAGGCAAGTCATGTATGGAGATTCATACCATTGTGAGATATGAGTGGTTTGAGCAATGGAAGGACGTGCCTGTGGAGACCCTGGCTGATCATGAGAATTACAAGATGAGATTCGCCAATTATCTTTTTGACTGGGCCTGTAGCTACTTTCCCAAGCTGAGAGCAAAGGTAAGGTTGGGTAGTGACAGTCTCACCTGCAGAGATGGCTCTCATTGCGAACAAGTACACTCACTTCACTTGGCATGTAAATAAATAATTGTTTAAGTGACATTGAAAGTGCTTTTGCATATCTGGAATGAAGACCTGCTGCAGCACTGTTAAGTGTAATAGTAACTTTACATTGAATGCAGCTGTTAAACTATGACATTTTAGCTGAGCTTGCAATGTTTAGTAGCTCTGAATTACTAAATGCTGCCCCTGAACCCAATCGATAAATGCACACACAAAAAATTAATGTGGACATGATTTATGTAAATTAAACTTGATCCTTGTTCTATAGTGTTAACACATAATTTAAGTTGGCAGTGCTACATGCTGTCAGTCCAGTCAATATGCATGGGCTGGGAGCCCGGGAAGGATCCATGATGTCTGCTGAGCACAACCTGGAGCGATACCACCCTTTGAACATGGCCAAAAGCAGGTGCTCCACACCCATAAAGAATCTATACCTTTCAGGTAAACTGCAGCATTTAATATTCACTAAAGTGGCCAAACTGTTTAGACTTGTAATTTATTGCTTAATGCAAGTTGTTATTTCAGGTCAGGACGTGTTCAGCGCTGGTTATTGTGGAGCGTTGCATGGTGGACTCCTTTGTGCCTCTACTGTTCTGGGACATGTGGTCTACATTGACCTTCTCCTCCTTCAAAAGAGACTGAAGCAGAAAGCAGCCAAGAAACTGGACTAAGATCTATGGATGAAACAAATGATTGATATTGAATCCGGTGCTCATGTCAATAAAGTGCCGAGATAATTCAATTTGCAAGAGCAATTACTGCACTTTTTTCCAAAACTAAATGGCTTTAGTTTTACCATAAAATCTGGTAACAAGCAATTTAATTGCTTTTATTCATCTCGTACTTTAATTGAAACAATGCAAAATAAAAGGTTGGATGAAAAGAACAGTGAATTTAGCTATAACCACTATATTTATTATTATTATTATTATTATTATTATTATTATTATTTTCATATACTTAAAAAAAAAAATCTTAAACTAAGTGTTTGTGGAAGAAGTAAGGTGAAGCTGCAGGGGGAGTATTTTGATGGGGACTGACAGCAGACCAAAGTATGGAGATGAACACACATTCAGTATAATTATAACTTTGTGTATTAGCTGATGAAGGGCATTTAATGACAGCGTATTAGATTAAGCATGTTTGTGATTCATGTATTACAATTAACAAGACTATTTTTAGAAATGTATACAAATGTACAGAGTGGTACTGTATACATTTCTTGTATGTTTTATTTCATCAGGTTACAGTCTTTATTTAAACAGTAGCACTTTGTCTTTTACCTCTCGGATCTGTTGACCTGCTGCAGCCACTTCAGGTACATGGTGTAGCTGTATTAGGAGCTGCTGTAAACTCTTCTGAAAGCGGCCCATCCACTGATCTGAGACCTGCATCTCACATGAGTGCATGAGCTCATTCCTACAGCGAATCACCTGTGAGAGACAGATGGATGAGATCTACAGTGTTTCCCACACAGGTAGCACTTTGGTGGTGTGCTCAGGTATATGGCTACCCATATGTGTAGAAGGCAGAATATGTTGCTCAAAATATGACCATTGTCAGAGGTGCCTTCATCTACAGTCATATAAAGATGTACAGTCCATGAAAAGTTTAGACTTTTTCAACATATTTGGAGAAAGATGGCACGTGTTAGTTTGAACAGTTTTGATATTCAAAGGTGATATAATTTAACAGACGACACTTGGAATTAACATTTTTGTCATTCTTCATAAAACTGAAATAAATAGTAATGCAGTTTTCTTATGTGGAGAAAGTATATACACCCATACATAGAGCACTGGTTCAAATGTGTCGAATTGAAATCGGGCGATGTTGATTAGATTGCCGTTAGAGGAAATTGTCTTATTTAATGCTCAGATATCTGGTCTGGTTTGCTCTTTGTTGTTGGACTTTGTGGTATCATCATGCCTAGATCAAAAGAACTCTGAGGCCTTCAGAAAGAAAGTTATAGATACCTATGAGTCTGGGAAGGGGTTTATGAAAATAATCAAAAATACTGGAAATCAATCATTCCACCGTCTGGAAGATCATCTAATACTTAGGAAGCTTTAAAACCACTGTCTACTTGTCCAGGCCTTCTAACAATCATTTTCATTATAAATTTTAATACCATAATAATAACTGATTTACATTACTATAAACCAATCAGGCCTAACATTATGACCGCCTCCTTGTTTCTACGTTAATTGTCAGTTTTATCAGCTTTGCACTTTGTAGTTCTACAATTACAGACTGTAGTCCATCTGTTTCCCTGCATACTTTGTTAGTCCCCTTTTACCCTGTTCTTCAGTGGTCAGGACCCCCATGGACCCTCACAGAGCAGGTATTATTTGGGTGGTGGATCATTCTCAGCAGTGCAGTAACACTGACGTGGTGGTGGTGCGTTAGTGTGTGTTGTGCTGGTATGAGTGGATCAAACACAGCAGAGCTGCTGGAGTTTTTAACACTGTGTCCACTCTCTGTCCACTCTATTAGACACTCCTACCTTGTTGGTCCACCTTGTAGATGTAAAGTCAGAGATGATAGCTCATCTGCTGCTGCACATGTTGTGTTGGTCATCCTCTAGTCCTTCATCAGTGGTCACAGGATGCTGCTGACAGGACACTGTTGGCTGGATATTTTTGGTTGGTGGACTATTCTCAGTCCAGCAGTGACACTGAGGTGTTTAAAAACTCCAGCAGCACTGCTGTGTCTGATCCACTCGTACCAGCGCAACACACACTAACACGCCACCACCACATCAGTGTTCATGGGGTCCATGGGGGTCCTGACCACTGAAGAACAGGGTGAAAGGGGGCTAACAAAGTATGAAGGGAAACAGATGGACTACAGTCTGTAATTGTAGAACTACAAAGTGCACCTATATAGTAAGTGGAGCTGATGAAATGGACAATGAGCGTAGAAACAAGGAGGCGGTCATAATGTTATGCCTGATATGTATCTACAATGAACAAATTGTTAAAACATTTTTAGCTGTTATTAGGTATTACATATTACACATACTACATACAGCTTATATGCTAGCCCTGTGTTGTAGACCTCAAACCACTCAATGTCCAGTATACTGGACAGTGAAATCCACTGAAGTCACTAAAAAACAATATTATCCCCAAATTCATAGAACATCATCTACTGTCACTCCAAAATACACATTAGATTCTACTTTTACCAAAATAAAGTCAAATCCTGACTGAGTGTGTTTTGTAATAAATGAGTCTTATACTAATAGTGTTTTGTTTAGTCTTTGGTCTTCGTCTGTCTCACCAGCTGCCATGTTTGTTTTTGTTTATGACAGGATAAAAAAGTAAACATTCTATGAAATGACCAACCAGCAGAAAGACTGAGTTCTGTAGAAACCGTACCTGCTTCTTTGTTATGCTAAATTCATTTTTAATTTGATTTGTAATTATCCTAATTTAATTTCTAATTAGATTTTCAATGTTACCATTTTCTCTTTTAAATCTATTGCTTTCATCATGGTTTTTATTTCTATTCTCCTTTACCTTTTCAAACGATTCTGTATTTTCTCATTTGTAAAGCACTTTAAATGACAGCACTGTATGAAAGGTGCTTGTCTTATCGAGCTACATACCTGGGAAAAAAATGTCAATGTTGTTTAATTTTTGGCGTTTTTTTTTAAGCCATTTTGGCGGGTTTTGGACGTTTTCGTCACTCCTCAAGATGTTTCAAGACATTATGGATGAAATCTGGCAACCCTGGTGGAGCTTTATTTAGTTAATTAAGCGCAGACAGCAGATTGGGTGCAGCGGCTAATTAGTCACGTGAATAAAAAAAGCCCGGATAGTGGCTACTATTGTTCTCGGGGGTTTTCTATCGAGTGATTGTAACTCGGAGTTGTTGGCTTGAGAAAATCGGCCGGCCGAGACACGATGAGGTGGCTGCTGCTGTTTTTGGAGTGGTTGGTGGACTGGGCCCGCGGGACTTACTGGTATATGGTGGGGAAGAGAAGTGCTCTGTGTAAGGAGTCCTTCAGTCCTCCAGCCCGGCAGGAGTTTGACCAGCAGGCGAGAGACAGAGTATTAGCGCAAGGTAGATTGAAACAGTCTTAATGTGGGGAATTGGACAGATTAGCCTGTTCATGTCCAGCAGCTAAACTTCGTGAATGTAAAAGTGTTGTAGAAATTGTTTAACAATAATATCGAGGCCAATATTCTGAAGTCCGTGTTTTAACTCACCAACTGTCTAGTGGGCTGAGATCTTCCATTGCAGAGCACTTGGTGTTTTGAGAAGGAAATGTGGCCCCATTTCATGCATTTGCTAAAATCACTTTTGAAGAGGGGGGAAAAAAAAAAGTTTTGTGTGGTGGTTTTTTTTTTTAAATGTACTTTTTGCTTAAGGCAGTGGCTTCCAGCCCTGGTCCTGCAGAGCTTGGATCCAGCCACAATTTCACACCTGCTCCAGCTGATCAAGTCCCAGATTGGCTGGATCAGATGTATGAAGTTAAAAAGCAGGGCAGTTTATTCGATACAAGTTGAAACTGAACTGCAGGAAGGTAGCTCTAATTACATGAAATGTAAGTCAGTTCTCAAAAATATCAGAACCTGATGTATCAGTATTGCTGTCATTCTGCCCACTCCAGTTAACTTCATAGCTACAATGTACAAATGTCATGTCTGTCTGTCTAGAGTTCAGCGCGGACAAAGTGGCTTCCGGCCTGGATGTGGTTGTGATTGGTAGTGGTGTTGGTGGACTGACGGCTGCTGCAGTGCTGGCCAAACTTGGCAAGAAAGTTCTTGTTCTCGAACAGCATGATAAGGCTGGAGGCTTGTGCCAGGCCTTCACTGTAAAAGGCTTCCAGTTTGACTCTGGTGAGCGGAGCTCTTTCACCAGAAAGCGTACAACACTTGTTAGATCTTAAGCTAATTTAATTCAAATGACAAATTGTTGATGTGCTGAATGTGATAATCTGCATGTTCCTTCCGAAGCTTTCCACTACATAGGTCAACTTCATGAGAACAGTCTACTGAAAATTGCACTGGATCAGATTACTGATGGTCAGCTACAGATTGCTGAACTGGACCCTCACACGGACACTGTAGTCATTGGAAAGGGGGACAGATGCAAGGAATACACAATTTATGCAGGCAAGCGACAGATGGAGGCTCACCTTAAGAAGCAGTTCCCTAATGATACTCGGGCAATTGAGGAGTTTTTTAAGATCATGAAGGTATGTAGCTTTTAATACTCCTGTACAGTATTGTGCACTTTGCCCTTCTCAGGTTTAGAGCAGTTTGTTTCTATGTGGAGTTTACAGCAGTATATTAGCTTTTTAAGGTAGCCAGTGGAACACTTGGCTTTCAAGACATCTTGAATAGTGAATTGTGGGAAATTAATGAGTAGTCTAAAGCCAAAACTGCATGTTACCCTTTATGCTAATGCAAAAATGTTGATGTGACTAAACATTTCAGTTGCCATTGTTAATGGATTTTATAGTTGGACACCTTTTTTAAAGCAGATTAACATTTAATTTTTTATTTCACCCCAAAAGATCTGCTCCAAAAAGATCCATCTTTTGTGTGACCTGAAGCTGGTCCCACTCTGGTTTGCTCGCTTCATCCTGTGGAGTGGAATTGCTGACTGGATCTCTCCAATCTTCAAGTACTCACGTACCAGCACCTTAGAAATGATCAGTTCCCTCACTGACAACAAGGACCTCCTCACTGTCCTCTCCCATATCTGTTATGGTAGGACTTAATAATGTCTACATTTCCTGTATAATCTGGTCTGAACTCAGATCAGTAGTGGCCTAATGACCCACTTTTTAATCTACAGGTGTTCCACCCAGAGACTCCAGTGGCATGATCACTGCTCTATTCCTGCATCACTCCAAGCGTGGGTCATTCTATCCAGTAGGTGGTGCCAGCGAGATCCCTTACCACATCATTCCAGTCATTCAGAAAGCTGGAGGCAAAGTCTTGGTCAAGGCCCCAGTATCTCGAATCTTGGTTGACAAAAGTGGAAGTGCTTATGGTACGTTGCCCTGGGTGATATTTCATTACTAAAAATAAATGGTTTAACTAGCATGCCAGTTAAGATGTCACCATCATTGTTTTGTATATTTGAGTGACATGGAAATATGTGGCCCAATAGCTCCAAAGATTCATTGTTTTTCAATACTAAATGATTTTCCAAATATGCTTTTTGCATTGGACAGGTGTTACTGTGAAAACTACTAACGCAGAGGTTGAAATTCGAGCTCCTGTCATCATATCAAATGCTGGTTTGCTCACTACATTACATAATCTTCTACCACCAGAGATCAAATCCAAACCAGGTTAGTTAAGTTTTGAAAATGGGCTTAAATTCTTTAACTGCCTGGTAGTAACAGCTCTCCCATCTCTTCTGGTCAATAGAGGTTATGGATCATCTTGAAAACGTTAAACCAGGCAGAGGCTTCTTCCAGGTGTTTGCAGGCTTTAATGCCACTCAGGAGGAGCTGGGAATTACATCAACCAGCTACCGTCTCTACAAGAGCAACAACATGGATACAGCGTGAGTGTGATGGCCAGTACTTCCTCTGAAACACTTTTTGGTTCTTATACCACTTTAGTTAAACTTCACTAAGAGTTGCTAAGAAAATGTGTGTTAACTCAGTATGTGTGTACTCCATAGGTTGGAAGATTACTTCAGCCTGGATGAAGAAGATGCACCTGACAACATTCCCATGATGTACATGTCATTCCCCTCTGCTAAAGACCCCACTTCAAAGAGCCGCTTCCCAGGTAGTCATGTACACGTACCTTATTCAGATGCTGATCACTTCATGATCATTCTTGAGCATGTGCTGTGGATTGTTTCAGGGCAATCTCGCATGATGATTCACACTGTTGTAAACTCCAAGTGGTTTGGAAAGTGGAAGGGAATAGCAGAGGAAGACAGAGGAGAAGACTTCAATAAATTCAAGATGAGATTTGCTAATCATCTGTTTGACTGGGCCTGTGTCCACTTCCCCAAGCTGAGAGAGAAGGTTTTCATATTAAAACGTTACCTTTTGCATAAAGGAGACAAATGATCAGTGGAAAATGTACTGATGCACAATGTTCATGTCGTTTGCTAATTCACCACTGTCATTCTCTTCTGGTAGCTGGTAATGCTGCATGCTGTCAGTCCCATCAACAAGCATGCAGGAGCCATACTGTCTGCTGAACACAATCTGGAGAGATTTCAGCCTTTGACCATTGCCAAAACCAGGAGCACCACACCCATCAAGAACCTTTACCTCTCAGGTAAAATGCAGTCATCAGAATAATGTTAAAACAAAGATGGCTCTTATGTAATGTGTGATGTGTCTGAATGCAGGTCAGGACGTGTTCAGCGCTGGTTTTTCTGGAGCATTGCATGGTGGTCTCCTTTGTGCCTCCACTGTTCTGGGACATGCAGTCTACATTGACCTTCTCCTTCTTCAAAAGAGACTGAAGCAGAAAGCAGCCAAGAAACTGGACTAAGATCTATGGATGAAACATTATTTGTGCTAAAGAATGCAGTGCTCAAGTCAATAAAATCCCTTTGCAAATTAAATTGTCTGGCAAGTACACTTATTTTAAGATTTACTTTATTTTAGATGGCTTGTCTTCCACACTTTTGGTGGAAATGTCTTTATTAATTTCATACTTTAATTGAAGTTATGCAAAACAAAGTTGGATGAGAAGAACAATGATTCAGGTCAGTTTAAACCTCGCACTTCATCATGTTTGACTTTTAGCTCAAACCAAGTTGTAGCAAAAGTGTTTTGGAAAAGGTAAGGTGAAGCTGCAGGGGGAGTACTTGATGTGGCTTTAAATAAGCAACATTTAGGAGTTTCTGTATCAGATGTTACGCAAAAAGAAATGCATTTACTCATGCAACTTAGACATTGTAGGCTTTAGGTAATCATCTTTTGGATGATGGACTTGAATTATCAACACAAAGTACTTTTACAGAACAGCTCATTTAAATTGTTTAATCTACTGCTTTTATTACATGTATGCAGGTATTCCAAATTTGTGAATGTTCAGTACAAAGGAAATATATTGGCTAGCTGTAGAATAGGATTTGACAGGAAACAAGATTTTTTTTTGGAGAAGTGGTTAAGAGGAGCTAAGCCTTCATTAAAGTTGCTACCTTCTAGAAAATACAATGATGTAAAGACAGGAATTGACGAGACATGTTGAATTAAACACCTTTACGAAACTTGCTCACTTTTTATTAATACAGATTAAAGACAATTTGTCATTCTGTAGTATCTTGCTGTATGCCTGTTATCCAGATATCCACAAAACAAGCTTAGGGCCAAACAAACATTTAAAATACAATATAAAATGTCAGTTTTAACTGTTTTCCTTCAAACAGGAATGTTCAACTTTCCTTACTATTTAGGCTTCTCTGCAGTTTTTCCTCCAACACTTGCATGCTCTGAAGTTCTGTCTTAAACTGCTCCTCCAGGTCCTTATGGCCACTCAAAAATCTGTGAAAGATTTGCACTTTCTTTAGATCCTGGGGAAAATAAGGCCAGAAAATTAGCTGTTTTAGTATATTAAAAATGCACTTATTAAGTCAAATTTATTTAGAAGTATCAGGGACATATTAAGTTCGTTTACATGTGACTGCTTTTACATAATACTTACCACAGGTACGAGATCATCATTGTCTAGCAAGTCCTTCAGACTTTCCCTGAGCAGTTCTGTCTCCCACTGGCTGATGGACTCAATTCCTACTCCTTCAATTTCATGTCCATCCACACTGTCCACCCCGGGGACATGCACCGATAGATCAACTGACAGCATCTGATGAACACAAATTCAGTATAATTAACTTTCAGTGTATTAGCTGATGAAGGGCATTTAATGACATCAGATTAAGAATGTTTGTGATTAATGTATTACAATTGACAAGACTATTTTTAAAAATGTATACAAATGTACAGAGTGGTACTGTATAAACTCCTTGTATTTTTTAATTCATCAGGTTACAGTCTTTATTTAAACCGTAGCACTTTGTCTTTTACCTCTCGGATCTGTTGACCTGCTGCAGCCACTTCAGGTACATGGTGTAGCTGTATTAGGAGCTGCTGTAAACTCTTCTGAAAGCGGCCCATCCACTGATCTGAGACCTGCATCTCACATGAGTGCATGAGCTCATTCCTACAGCGAATCACCTGTGAGAGACAGATGGATGAGATCTACAGTGTTTCCCACACAGGTCGCACTTTGGTGGTGTGCTCAGGTATATGGATAGCTGTATGTCTAGAAGGCAGAATATGTTGCTCGAAATGTGATCATTGTCAGAAAAAAAGCTGAATTCTGTTAAATAAGCTTAACGTAGTGTCATTTTAGAGATCATAGGTCACACAGATTCAGATGTGTTTTTTGGCCTTGCCCTTTGCCCATAGAGATTTTTCCAGATTCCTTGAATCTTTTGATGATGTTATGCACTGTAGAGGGTGCATGTGGTGCTCTTTGCTCTTTTCTTGAATGCTGCTCTTATACACAAGCATGACTGCATCTCCAGTTTAAAATGTTTTCTGAACATAACACGTTTAAATTGCTTGTCCCAACATTTTTGAAACGTGTTGCAGGCATCAGTTTCAGAATGAGTATGCTGAGAATGAAAAAGATTACATACATTTGGGTTTGCATATTTAAAAAAAAAAAAAGCATTTTTATTAATCTTTTTTAAAACTAAAACGTTATGGATTCAAGCACTATATCAATGCAGCTTGAGGTGGGAGAGAGTGAGAGAGAGTGAAGTGAGGGAAAGTAGCACTTGCATGAAGTTAGAAAAGTTGTCCTGACAATGTGCTTTCTCTTAGTTTGACTGAATTACTAGTTGCGGTTACACTACTATTGAGAAAATTATAACAAGAAACCACATGAGGGGGAGGAACTTAGGTGCGCTGATGTGTACAAAAACCTTACTGGAATACAGTCAGAAGAAACGGCTGTATCTCAAAGAAGTGCGTTTTGGTCATTTTAGCAATTGATATTTGAGTAAAAGATGTTATTTAAACCTTTTTGCCAGTAATTACTGTTTCTTTTGTCAGTCATAAAATACTTCAGTTCCTTGTTATTCTCCTGCTGAAGTGCATAAAAAATAGCTGACAGGCTGTCAGAAATAGATCTAAGTCATCATCTTTTACAAAACCTTACAATGTTAAGAACTGAGCCAGACAGCAAGTTAGACCATATGTTTTGATATACATATATATTTATTTATGTGACAGTATATATATATATATATATATATATATATATATATATATATATATATATATATATATATATATATATATTTGAAAGAGGCAATCAGTGTAAAACTAAAAATAAATTTTATGAATTTTATTTTTTAAGCTTTAGTGTCTGTGTCTCACCTTGCTCCCCGCCTCGGCACCAAAGTACATTCCAAATCTGTGGGAAACACTGGATCTATGCGTACAGGAAATGGAGAACTAACTTTGATATGGCTTAAATATCTGTAATAAGTTGTTTATAAAGTCTGACATCTGCCAGTGTGAAGCCCTCGGAAGACGCCCTGAGAAGATGCCTCTGCCTCTCATTTTTAGTGTTTTGTTATTTTATTGTAATTTTGGATTGGGCAGCATAATGACTGTGCTGCTGTTAAAAATAGGCTATAGCGTGCTGGGAAATTTATAAAACGCATCCGTACAACAGATACCTGTTCAACAAAGCTGCATGTCTGGACATGTGGTGTGCCTTTTGTACAGTTGTGACTCTCACCTCTGTAACAAGGCCCTGGTTGATGAAGCTGAAATGGTCACAGAAGTGGAGGAGATTGAGTAGTGCTGCAGCATCACAGTGCTCAGCTCTGTTTGCGTCTGCCAGTCCTCGTGGCATGAAAGCCTATGAAAAGAAAAATGCACCCTTTAAACACATTCAAACTCGCAACCTTAATCACAGAAGAGAAGTTAAGCCCGACAGTCAGAGCCATTCCACCCAGCATACAGGGGTGATGTTCAGTGCTGCCAGACTGTGCAGTTACAGTCTACAGCAGCTCCACAAATCAAGTTAGTCAAGTCTGTGTGGCCTACCTTTGCCAGTTCCCAATGTTCAGTGGGCCACAGCCAAGGTCTGCAGTTTCCCCAGTTAATCATGCTGCATGGCTTTGTGTGGTGCCTCAGTATTTCCCTCTGCCACTCACTACAGACAGGACAAGCTGACTGAAACTGAAAGGGAAGGCGAAGTGCAATGACTGGACAAGTACAAGAGGTGGGTGCAGTAGCCTAAAGATGCTGTCACCAACAAAGCATAATGAACTTAAACAGAAAAAAGGGAATTAATAATTACATGTTAATGATTAACTGGGTAAAAAGTGGATTCCTTTCCTCACAGAGACTTGAAAAGTAAAAGCACACAGTTAACTAAGCAAATGTAACTGGTTACCCACCTTTGATAATCAAAACTGTATAACCTTAATAGAGCAGTTAACTATATTACTCTGATATACGGTTGTATGTGTTTGACGGTCCTGTCCTGTGGCCTCGGAATCATTTATACACAGTGAAAAACTTCTACCTGGTTTCCTCTTGGTCTGCAGTTGCTTCTGCACGGTTGTCCTCTCCTTAAAACCGTGTTGTTTCTGACCACAGTGTTGTGAAAAGACCTCATTTCATTGTCCGCAAATCCACATAAAGCCGTCCCTCACTTTCAGAAGACAGTAACCGGCTTTGAGCCAGTTCTTGTACCCGACTTCGTTCAGACGTGCAAATAACTCCTCGTGAACCATTTCCGAGAGATAAAATCATTCCGTGAAAGCGAGCAGAGCGGCAGGCACCGAGGAGACGTTAAGGAAAATCACCGCCCAGGCTCGTTTTCTGTTTCTCCCGAAACCGCACAGAAATATTCCGCTTTCTGGTACGAGCAGTGTGAGTTTTTGTTTATACAGGAACCTCTTCCGCACTATATAATTAAACTACGTTAGAAATGGATTATGGGAAATGTAGGCAGTAACGACTTCACGCGTTCCATGGTGACGTAGGCGGCGCTGTTGCTAAAAGTAGGCCTACATTAGACAGGCTGGGCTCAAATAACCTACTGAAAATTCACTGTTAAGCACAAAAAAGCCAGTTCAAGCAACAATACCAGTAGCCTAGCTAAAGCTAATTTTCCATGCAGAAATCTGATATGTGGCAATTTATGGATTTCATATGTATCACATATATTAGCAAATATGGATTTCCTCATATCCAAATTATATTTTTTGCATATATGCCAACCTATTTTCAATGGGCTATATATAAGCCATATATCAACATATATATATTTAACAACATGATAGAAAACATTATTCATTTACTGAGCTTCGTTACATAATATAAGGTTTTTAAGTGTCTTATTTGTCATTCTACATACTTATGTGCAGTGAAAACTAGTATAATAGTTACATAGAACTGTACTAGGATGTATTCAAACATGTATCAGACACAAATGTGTGCTCCATATATTATGCGTATATGTCCAATATATGTGTATATATACATATGTGTAAATATACATATGTGTATGTATATTTTGAATATGTATGCCTGACCCTTAGTGATATACCTGCGTTTATGGTCATGTATCAGATTTGCAGTATTATGTGCTTGTGTGTGCACAGGTTTGTGTGCGCAGTTATCCACACTGAAAGAAGTGTTTTTTTGGGGGGGGTTATTTGTAATGTTAATGTCATTTTCACATAAATAAAAGACATAAAGAGTTTCACTCCATTTGGATTTTTCATTCAACACTTTTGAACAGAATAAAAACTGACATATTATGCAGTTAGTCAAAAAGCACTTTTTTATTTCAAAAGGTGGTACTACAGGTGGTCTTATGCTGCATTCATGACCACATTAGCATTGGGAAGTTTGCAACTTCCAAGTTAGAGAGGTCCATTTGAAGGGCCCTCCAACTCATAATTCCCAATCAGAAAGTCAGAGTTTCTCAAGAACTACAAATTCTCTGAGTTGCTGTTCTGTGGCATCAGTTAAACATGGCACTGTCCATAGAACAATATGTCAAAGTGTGTTTTCAGCATAGGCAGTTGAGTTGATGTTTGAATATGATGAGTTCTTTGTATGTGATATTGCTAAAGACAGAGAACTGCTATAGCCTCCAGCTACTCTTTAAATATGTTGAGCTCTGACCAAAGAACTCTTTTACTCCATATTTTCTGACCACAAACAGCTGAAGTTGTGTGAACGCTTTTGAGGTGGAAAGTAGGAAACCTCAGAATCTGGGAAGACCAAGTTCCTAAATCAATGCAGCGTTAATCATAATATAGCACTGATATTTCATGTACATATGATGTTCTCTCCCAACGACATAGTCATATGCAAAGGTTTAGGTGCCTGTGGTCAAATCATCTAGTTACAGAAGTTAGCACATCCTCTACAGAGAACACACTTCTTCATTTTAATGCAATTACTGTTTAACATCTTGGTGGAAACAATTGAACATAAAATGTGGCCGGTACAAATATTTTATATTTTATGTATTTATGAATTGTTTTTCTTATATGTTAAACTCAGCAAATAAATAGAAATTGTGCACTAAAATGTGCAGCAAAATGCCATATTCAAGTGTGTTCACTGTAGAGGATGGGGTCACTTGTTTCCACTTCGAAAATCAACATATCATTTAATTTGACCAGGGGTGCCCAAACCTTTGCACACAACTGTATATCAAGAAAAAAAGAAAATTAATGTGTCATTTAATGCATTTTGGAACAATTTACTGACATATTCACCTGCACAGGTTTGTAATTTCAGTACTTATTTTTTGGCACCAAGTGTGTTGATGTTATTTTGATATATTTTATTAATGTGGAAATGATGCACTTTGAATCACGTAAAGTGAAGGAATGTTTTTCAGTACATAAGATTCAAACATTACAGCAGAACTGTTTAATGTAATCCATTTATTCACAATAATCTATGATGGAGGAACATCCATAAAATATCAATAAATATAAAACAGTATTTACACTTATTTACAGAGCAGTTATATACAATGATTAAATACATCGACTCTTTTGAGAGGCCAAATGAGGCAGAGCACTAGTTCTACTTTTACAGCTGACTATCCTACCTTATAAGAACATAGAGCAGAACAATAACAAGCTTTCAAATATTTCATTCAAGCCTGAAGTTGTTTAGCCTGAAATGCAGGATGATCTCATAGGCTTGAAATGACTGCTGTATTGTTCACAGTTGAGCTTGGGCTCATAATTAACGCAATCAGTCTTCAAAAGGAAGTTACAGGTGTGGCAATCATGTCTGTCATCAGTTCCGTGGTAGATGCAGCTTGCCTGTTGACCTGAGCTTGCACATTATGCTGGTAATAATATAAGGGGGAAGGGAGTGTCCCCATCCTTTGACACACTGATACTGGTGGGTGTTCAGAGGCTCGTGGAAGGACTGGGTTGTAACTGTAGTCCCTCCAGGAAGGTGCTTGGTGAGTGGCAGCTTGGTGGTGTCCATAGGCTGGTGTGCGATAGGCTATAGTGTACCCACCATTGCGCAAATGAGTGCTGGTAGTGTGTGTTGGGATCTCTCTGGTTCTGTAGGCCCCATCCTTTGGTCCAGGGTGGAATGAACCTGAGGTTGAAAGTTATAAAAGACATTAGTTTTCACTAAAAGGACATTTTAGTTAATGCAGTGAAACATGTTGTTCTATGAAAGTCAGGCCACAATCATGTGAATCAACTAAACTAAAAATTTTGTAATATGCCAGGACAATAGGCTTCTGCGAAATACAGGCAAACAGGCAGTGTGGTCAGCAGACGACAGTGTTACCACCGTACAGCATCATCTTATGAATCTAAACTATTTCCTTTAGTGTGTAGAGCAACAACTGAAGTTTGCAGATTCGCAAATGCAGAAAAATTATGCTGCATTCATTTTTTTAGAAAAATATAGCAATTTGACACATTCTGAAAGGAATATGTGGCCACCAACAGACCAAGTTAGATTTCACTACTGTTATTACTCAATAGGCTAATTTATGGTATAATAATTAAGTGTTGCAACTGTCCCATTGCACCTTTAGTGTACCTTGTATTTATGCACATATTGTGGAAAATATGAACTATGTACATATATTTTTGAATTTGTTAGTAGACAAAAGAAAGAAACACAATCAGATTATTTCCACCTCCAGTTTTTGTATAGTAGTGCAATTGTATACCCTATAAAATGAAAGCAAAAGGCCTTCAAGACTTACTGTTAGCTCGCTGGTGGCTGACGATGGTCATTTTTCGGCTGGCTTCTCCACTGGTGTCAGAGTCACTGTCGTTGAAGTCACTGTCTCCTTTCCCACTGTCCTTCACGCTCGTTTGGTCAGTGGACCCGATCCCACTGTGAATGGAATAATAAAATCAGAGGAGCGCAGAGACATCCAATAATAGCAGTGCCAGAGGACAAACAGCGGCAGATTTGAGCCATAATTTGCATCCAGAACAAACACACATTGGGGTCAGGGACACTGTATATTTAGATTCATTTAAAAACTCTGGACTTGTCACATCAAAGTCACAGACTCATCAAAAACAAGACTGGAAGTGAGTACAACATACCTCATTTGAAGAGTGTATCTGTCTCCTTGCCAAATAGCAACGGGCTCAAAATTGGCCTTATTGAAGAGAGGTTGAAACACCTAAAGACAAGGAAAAAAGACAGTAAGCACTTATGTTCACATTTGCACTTTCCAACAATAAATGAGGTTACAACTGACACACCAGTGTTTCTCAGGCCTGGTACTGGATGCCCACTGTCCTGCACATTTTAGTGTTTTCCCCGCTCCCAACACACCTGATCCAACTAATCAGCTTATCATTAACAACCCATTATTGAGTTAAAGTGGCAGGAAAAGCACCAAAAATGTGCTGGCCAGGGTTGAGAAACACTCTTACAGACTATATTCCTATGAATGTTAATTACCTTATTGTCAGAGTCTCTGCTGGGTTCCTCTTCATAAGAATAAGACGAGTCATCCCTTGAGGTGGAAATTTGCTCCGTGATAGTGGTGCTGCCTCCAGAGAAGCTGTTCGAGTCAGATGAGTCGATGCTATGTGTTGGCAGTGGACTCTTTTTAAAGTATCCTGTAGAACCCTGCTCCATTTTGCTGATGGTGCCTCCTCTTGGGACGTTCCTGCGCGACAAGGCCACTGCCACAATGGCAACCAGCAACATGGCACAGCCAACCCCTAGAAGCACAATGATGATGAGGGAGGCATCAAAGTCGGGTTCATTCTTTTCTTCGCTGGCCTCGAGGAACACCACTATTTGCTCCTCCAAGGGCTCCACATCTGAAACCACAAAACGGACAGTGGCTGTGCAAGACAGAGGCATCCGGCCATGGTCGCTCACTGCCACTTTGACTTCCAGCACATCCCCATATTCAAGCATCAGGCTGTGCTTCAGAGCAACCTCACCAGAGTTTTTGTTCATGGAAAACAGCATTTGTTTGTCCTCTGTTATGCTGTAGGACAGCTCGGCGTTCATCCCATCATCCACGTCGCGTGCTTTGACCCTCAGGGCGATGTAACCGGCCGGCGCATTGTAAGGTAGGAGCACATCTGCTGAGCCATTAATGAGAATGGGATGAGTGATAAAAGGAGCATTGTCATTCTCGTCCACCACCCTGACCTTGACCAGAGCTGTGCTCGACAATGGAGGAGAGCCCCCATCTGTTGCTTGAATGGCAACCTCAATCTGCTTTACATTCTCAAAGTCAAGAGATCTTATTGCATAGAGAGTTCCCGAAGCTGAGTCCACTGAGAGAAAAGAACTGAGCAGGACTCCTTCAACTTCCTTTTCAATAAGCTCATACGTGACTTTGCTGTTGGCTCCCTCGTCAGGATCACGAGCTACTAAGGAAGCGATGTAGGACCCTGGTGCTTTGTTTTCCATCACTGAAATCTCATACACAGGCTTGCTAAACTGTGGGGGGTTGTCATTCTCATCGCTAACTCTGATGGTGTACTGCATAAAGGTTTTAAACGGCGGAGAACCCAGGTCTTCAGCTACTACAGTGAGGTTATATTCAGGGATCTTCTCTCTGTCCAATGCTGAAGCCGTGACGATCATGAACGCCTCGCCGTACGCCTGCTGAAGTCTGAAGTGATCGTGGCCATGCAGACTTACGCGTACATACCCATTGGCGCCCGAGTCTCTGTCTGTGGTGCTGATGAGCGCCACAAAGCTCTCCACCGCTGCTGCTTCAGTGATGTAGGCCATCTCTTCGCTTGGTGACGTCATCGGCTTGATCTTGATTTCCGGAGCGTTGTCGTTCACGTCAGCGATGTCCACTACGACGACACAAGACGACGGAACGGAGTTCTCTCCCAAATCGTACGCCTTTAAGTTCAGCTCGTACGACTTTCGCTCTTCAAAATCTACCACGGACTTCAGGGTCACTACTCCGGTGATGGGATCGACGTCAAAAGTGCTTCTGATCTCCTCGGACACGTCCTCAACGAAGTCGTAGCGCACCTCACCATTCACGCCGTGGTCGGGGTCAAACGCCTGCACCTTCACCAAGAGAAAACCCACTGGTGCATCTTCAGGGAGCTCAACTTTAAGAGTGTCTTGCTCAAACTGGGGGCTGTTGTCATTGGCATCCAAAACTTTGACATGCACCATCGTCGACCCGGACTTTGGTGGGCTCCCACCATCACTTGCAGTGACCAGCAGCGTGTATGCGTCTTCCAACTCCCTGTCCAGCTCTTTCACCAGCACAAGCTGAGCGACCTTCTCACCGTCGTCTCCACTTCTCACCTCGATGCCAAAATGACTGTTGTGAAGAAGCTGGTAACTTTGGATGTAGTTGCTGCCCTCGTCCAAGTCGCTGGCGACCTCTAAGGGAAAGCGCGCGCCCACGGCCGCGTCCTCCGAGATCTCGAGCTGCGTTTCGTCACGTGGGAAGCGAGGAGCGTGGTCGTTTATGTCCCTCACGTGGATCTCGATGTGGATCAGGTTGAACTTCTCCTTGGAGAACACCACAACGTCCGAGGCGATGACGCACTGCGGGGAGCGCTGGCACAGGCTCTCGCGGTCGATGCGCTCCGCCACCGTGAGGACCCCGTCGCTCTTGCGCATGTGGATGAGCGATGAGTTGCCCTCCTGCATGAAGCGAAAGCTCGTGTTCGGGTCCTCGGACGGGTCGATGTTCAGATCCATTGACAGGTTCCCAATGAAAGTGCCTGGCGCGTCCTCCTCGTAGGTGTAATACTTAGTGGTTGTTGCTCTCGCCGACCAAGCACCAACAACCAGAACTAAGCTCAGACTTACTAACATCTTTCTAAGCTCCATCTCCGTCTGAACTAACGAGCAGATTTCTAAAGAAAAAAAAAACTAGTGGCAGGCCATCTAAAGCTGACGAAGTGCTCTTTCTCCAAGGCTCATCTGAAGTGAAGAAGGTGTGTGACAGGGCTGGATTTAAGCCACGGGTCTTATGCAAATTAGGGCCCCCCGGACCAATGGCTATGCTCTGTCCCACCAAAAGGCTCCCCCTTTTTTAGCCCAGACAAAAGTGTGACATTTATTCCTTACAAATTGTCTCCTTATGGACAAGCAAAATGCCAGTTGGGGCTGTTTTAATTCTCATTTTGTTGAACACAAATGCAAACTGTGTTTATTTAACTTTAAGCACATGGCCTACGGCACGTGTGTCTTTTACTATGGGTTTAACTTCAGCACCAGTGGACATCAGTATTAGTTCCCTATTATATTTAGAGATTATATGTTCACACACATACACACCATGTGTGTATCTATCTATCTATCTATCTATCTATCTATCTATCTGTATATATATATATTTATATATATATGGTGAAATGATGCTTCAGAATGTTATATGTGGTTCTATGTAGAACCTTTTTAAAAATGTCTTCTATTGTTACAAGCTTGATGTAACAATAGCAGAACCCTTTTGGGTGCCATATAGAACCATATACAACACATTTCCCATCAGTGTGAAGAACCATTTCACCATGCAGAGAACCATTTAAGCATGGGATGTTTCTATATAGAACTCAAGGTTCTAATTAGAACCATTCCTTTAATGAAAGAACTTTTGAAGAACCATCGTTTTAAGAGTGCAGTTTTCCAGAAGCATCTTGTTAAGTGCGTTAACAATAAAGATTAATAAAGCCATATGGGAGGTTTAGATGGCCATATTCAGTAACAAGTAATTGAACTTATTATTGAATCATAGGGTGAATTCAGGTAAAGTGGGACACAAACATCAGAGCAGGCCATCAAAACTTCACTCACAAGTGTTATCAGCTTCACCTACATTGGTGCTTATCTATATGTCTGTGCTGAAATATGCTGATGTTTGTTTTTCTCACCGCGTGCTGCGTCTGCTTAAAGAAGATGTGATACCTTTTATCTCTTACAGTGGCTTTCAGCTTGAGTGGGACAATTGGAGAGATAAAGTGGGGCAATACCTCTGCATTTGAAAAGCGTTATCAACAGCTCGGTGTCAAAAGTTGATAAAAGATTACACTTGTTTGGATTAGTTTAGATCACTGTCCAGACCTTGATTTAACTCATTTTAATCAAAAATACATTACATCATTACATTTGAGAAAACTACAAACTAAAGATTAATTATTATGCATTCAAACTGATCATGAGGCTCACTGATGCATTTGACTTACAGAACGGAACCACGCCTACTATTGTGGCGTCACATCTGTCGATAACGTTTATTCATGTTTAGCACACATACAGCAACATCTCAGTAATATTTATTTTATATGTTTTTAACAAAAATACGCCTTTATAACCTTAAAAAATACTATTTTTGAATGTTTTAATAGTTTTATAGGAGTTCCTACGCATTTAAACTTATCATGAGCTTTGGTGATGCACTTGAATTACGAACCACAGCCACGCCTACTAATATGACGTCACATTGGTATAAAAAATATATTCATATTTGCCAGACATACAGCTACATCTCAGCGTTTATTTAAATCACTGGCAAAAGCTATTATTTTTAAAAAACAAAAGAAATTTGCAATGACGTAATACTTGGCAAAACTACAACCTTAACATGTTTGTACAGGAATTCTTCTGCATTCAAACTGATCATGAGCTTTAGTGATGCGTTTGAATTACGAACCACAGCCTCGCCCACTACTATGATGTCGCAGTAGTTGAAAAAAAAAAAAGTTTAACACAAAAGAAAAATGCAACAACGCAATACTTGAAACCATCAAGAACAACTTATCGTGAGCTTTACTGGTGCATTTGATACTGGTGGAAATGTAGCCACACTCACAATTATGACGTAACCACGTTTATTCACATTTAGCACAGATACGGGAACGTCTATACAACGTTTGTTTCTATAGGTTGACAAACAAACAAAACACAGTGCCACTAAAGCTTTTGTGCCTCGCTTGACACCTGAACTCAGCTTACCACATATAATTCATTGCACCATCATTATTCTTATTATCATTATTATTATATATCATGCTGACAGGACAAGTTTCGTACACGATGTGGGGTCGACAAACGGATGGGTGACAAATGAGCGCCTGTGACTTCGCGGCGGAGTTCTGTCACCCTGTGAGCCGGGGGGCGAGGCAGGTGTCAGCCCGCCATCTGTCAGACGTGCCAAGCACAAGGTGTTAGGATGTTACAGCCTGTTGCTCGTCACACTTCAGATTATTGAACCGCGGCCTCACAGCGAGGTTCCGCAGGCAGCCGGTACACCCAGCCCGATAATCAGCTGCTGCAGTTAGCAGAGATGCTGGGAGTAGAAGCGCTGCTGGAATATCACGAGTGTGTCTCTGCATACCAAACTGAGCCCGCGTGCCTTGAAGGTGCAGTCATCACTCAATGGTCTGAAATGAGATGACAGGACAGTTTACATTAATGTTAATACTGAGAAAGGTTAGTGTTACAAGACTGAGACGAGTTAGACAGCGAGGCTGCGTCCCAAACAGCCCACTCTAGTGTTGCAATCTAACATACGTTTTATTCTTTGCTTTTGAATTAAAATCCTTAAAGCGCCTCACTGATGAGAGTTAAGGTAAAAATATGTGTGTTTAAAAAAATCATTTAACTTTATTAAAAAAAAAAAACATGAAAAATATTCTATAAAATTACTATCTATCTAGGTCGTTAGCTAGCCACGCTCTTAAAAAAGATGGTTCTTCAAGGGTTCTTTAATAAAGAAAACTGTTCTATATAGAACTGTGGACACTAAAAGAACCTTTTGCATGATTAAATGCTTCTTTGCATCATGAGATGGTTCTTCAGATTGATGGGGAATGCGCTGTGGATGGTTCTCCACCAAAAAGGGTTCTGCTTAAGTTACAATATCAAGCTTGTAACAATAGAAGAACCCTTTTTGGTGCTAAATAGAACCTTTTTCAAGAAGTTCTATATAGAAACATATACAGCACATTCTCCATCAGTTTGAATAAACGTTTCACGATGCAAAGAACCCTTTAATCATGCAAAGGGTTCCTTGGCGTTCATGGTTCTACATAGAACAGTTTTCTTTACCACAACGCTTGAAATAACATTTTTAAACATTTTTTCTTTATTGAATACAAAGTGATTAAATGGAAACCATGTCATTTCTTAAACTTCATTTCAAGCAGAGCACCATCCACATTTTACAATGTCAAATTCTGTGTTGTTGATTTTGTGAAAATAAGTGAACACATCTTCTACAGTGAACACACTTCTGCACATTTAATGCACAATTGCTTTTACTGAATTTAATATATTGGAAAAAATAAAAAATACAGTGTGTCCTTTGCAAAACATTTATATTTTACAATGTTTTAATTTGTTACCATCATTTTTTCTAGTATCAACTCGATTTGATACAATCCAGTATCAATTTGACACAATTTTAAACTCAAAATTGAAATTGTTCTCTAAGGAGAACTTAAAATTACTTTTAAAAAAGCAACAAACGTTTTGAACAAAACTTCCAGCATTGTAAAATAAGTAAATGTTTGCATCTCAGTGGCATTTATTTCCATTGCACCTTTACATTTGGTCAAAATCGTTTTATAAAAATGTAGAGAACTAAATGAAGGTATGGACAAAAGCAACATCTTTGCAAATATTTGTATTTTTGAATAATTTAATTTAAGGGTGAGCATAATAGCACGAAGATGCCAGGAACTGATACAGTTTCATCACTGACTGTGAAGACACTCAAAATGGCAATGCTTTTGCCAAAATCCAGTGTATAGGCTACTGATGTCTTTCAAAGGTCTGTCTTCTAGATGACAATAAAATACGGGGGATGCAGCATTCAAAGCAATAACACTATTAGTAAATACAACATGAGGTGTAGTGTGTTTGAAATCTGCATGCATAATATACATAAGACTAGTCTGTTGTAACAGGTCTGCGAAACATCAATCCATCAATTTATATGTCTCCTTACAGCCGTCTATTTACATGAGCGTGTGAGATTCATGTTTGGTTTCAGAATTACTTTGAAAAGCTTTAGTAAATGGTGCTGACAGTGACTCTAACAGACACGATTGTGACTAATTGCTGTGAATGTTTACTGAGCTTCCTGATCAAAAGTGTCTGGCAGTAATGTGGTTATTCAGTGTAAATGGCCCCATTCACAGCACCTTCCTCAGTGCTGCACTTTAATTAAAGACCCAGTCATTGTGCTGCCGAGGCCTCAGGTTAAATGGAGCGTCCTCCTTTACATTCCTTTACTTGTCCAGACTGAGCTCCTATTGTCTCTGTGCTCATCCTGACAGGATCTCAGTATGGCTCACTGACTGCGAGCAGCACAGTGAGCTGAAGTGCTTCAGTGAGGCTGCCTGCAACCTGTTACCCGCTCAGCATATGGCATCCGACTAAAACAAGATAAAACAAGAAACCCTCCCCTTTTGTTCTCAAGTAAGTCCCAAACTGAAGTGCAGTTAGTGAAGAGGGAGAGACAGAGAGAGAGAGAATTGTTCACAGTGGTGCTGATAGGAAACAGATGTCTGAAGAGTTTAATGCCTCTCACAGAAAGTTATTACATAAAATGTACAAATGGGCTGCCTGCCATTCATGGCTGAGAGGTACATGCAGGTGATTGTAAGAGAAAATAAACCTCAAATAAAACTTACTTTTCAGATTTGCCACTATTGACCTTCATCAACATTACATATACAAACAGAGAACACACGTGTAGATTCACTGGTGGTTTTGGATAGTAAATAAAATGGCTATAATTGTGTTGTAGACATCACAACATGTGGTTCCTGAAAGAAAATTGTTGGTAGTTGGTAGTTTCTCTCCAATGAAACATTTCATATCAGACCAGTCTGAGTGAAATTGGTTGTCTCAGTGATGGAATTGTGCTAAAAATTTTGAGAAATCCCCTTTAAATTGAGGCAAGTTTCTCTACAGTGGACAATTTTCATATCAAATTGCTCCAAATGCCTCTATTTGCATCTGAACAATTGAAT